TAAAAATAATTACATTGCCGCCTTGTGGTTCTTTTATTTTTCAGTCCTCTGATAGATTAAAGAATATCACATTATTATCCTTGGCTATCGTTTAGTTTATACTTTTCTTAATTTAAACCCCTTTTATTTTGTAGAACTTAATACTGACTTGCTCTGATTTCTAGAAATCCTTCTTTACTTGTAATGCACTTTAACAATTTTAAACCAAAATGTATATACTTTGTGTAGATTTAATAAAAGTAAGCACACTCAGAGACATCTTCACAATATCTAACTTGAATCACATATCTACAATACCACTTTCTAAAAACTCTACCAGTCAGTTTTGCTTAGTACCATCCTTATTTTATCATCCTGAGTCTTTTTTTTTCCTCTTGTGTAACTTGCTCTGCTGTGCTATGTATTGCCGTGCAGAGACCCCCCCCTTGGTAGTTAGATATAGTAGCTTTAGCCTCCACTTTATATGTCCTCCTTTATATTGGTTTGTGTAACCATCTTAAAATTACTTTAATATAGTTATCTGTGTTACTTTGCTTTAACAGTAGGTTTTAAAGAAGGGGAGGAAATCCCCAACATAACTAAGGATGACACAATAAAGAATAAACTAGTGGATTTCAACCTCTTCAATATCATGACTCCAACAGGAAAAAGTTTCAGGGCCCAGTTTCCTTCTACCCATAACAAAAGGGACACTCTCCCAACCCCTTAAGAGTTGGGACCTCCAGGCTGAGAACCCAGGGAATCAACTGTTATATAAATCCATCTTTTATACTGCTTGGTAATTATAGTGGAATTCTAAGCTACAAATATGGGACTCTGTCACTCCCGGATTTTGTCATAGCTGATCTGAAGTTAGTATGTTCTTGATTAAAACATTTTTAAGTGCATCTGAAAATGCAGACTCTTCTCTGGAATATGTTGTTCTGAGAGCACATACTGGATCAGGCATGTAAGAATCACTTCTTCAGATACAGCGTTTTAGGTACTTTTGAGGGCAGTTTTTTAGACATAAGAATTTGTTATGAAAGGCTAATGGGGCAGGGAGGGGGGCAGGTGAAGAACATCTAGGGAACCTTAGGGGATTTCACAATATGGGTGGGGCCCATGATAACACTTCATATGGTCAGGGAGGTGTTGAACAACTTTTTGTGTTTCCCTTAGTTCAAGCTGACATGAGAAGTTGGAAACACCCAACCATCAGATGCCAGGGAAACAGGGTAAGCTTGGCAGTGGGCTTGAGGGGAGGGATAGGGCACAAACCAAATTGTCTTTTAAATAGTAAAGACTGTCCAAGGCGCTGTTGTGTTAAACCTGGTTGCAGGTTTTTATTTTCCGTACTGTTAAACTAGTTCACAGTGCTGTTAATAAGCGAGAAACTGTAATTTCCCAGGGAATCGGTCCTGAAACTAGATGTGCTAACACAAGCCCCTGCATCTGTGTAGAGTCCCTTCAAAATCAAGCCCCAGGTTCACACTTTGTAGGATTGAGACTTAAATCTGTTTTGGATTTTTTTTTTTTTTTTTATTTACTTAGATCCACCTTCAGGAAAGGGGGAAACAATGTGTGGATTTCAGTGAATTCTGAACTTTGTTGGAGATGCTAGTATGGGGCAGAGAGGGCTTGTTTTTGAGGAAAGCTGAGGATTCATATGTTATGTTCATTTTTTAAATGTATCGTCTATTTACTGTTTAAATGTTTAGTATTAAAACTACTATTACAAGAGCAAATAAAGTATAAAATAAGTATTTCAGGAAGGATTCTGTCACAAGCCTGTGACAGTTATTTATAAAAAGTTGGTTTTCATCATGTATGTTCATTTTCTTCTAATTATTGATAGTCCTATTTTCAGCACTGAAAGTACTGAGCAGAGCAGTGTCCCAAGAATGTTTATCAGGACAAGTTTGTTAATTATCGGGGCCAGAGGGTGGATGTAGAGGTGGAAAACCATTGTGGCTGACAAGCAATTATTGAGGGTAGTCAAGACTGAAAAATATTGAGGTACTCTGGTAAAACTTAACAAAGCTAGGTGAATGGACTGCATGATGGCGGGTGAAATCCAGTGTAGACAAATGCACGTTGGAAGGAACAGTTTGAAATTTTCAAACACTGATATTATTAAAGGGACACCAGTTTACACATCTGTCTGAATTTTTTTTACATACTGTTCCAAAAAACACCTAGGATTACTATAAATGAAAGATTTAAGGCTAGGATTTGAAAGATTTCAGTATTTTAGCAGAGGACCCAGAATTATATGCATGGGAGAAGGGACACAATAAAATAAGGTTCTACTCTTTAGAAGAGCTTCTCAAATGTATAGGACTCAGTTTGTCACACACAGTCTGGAGTGTGATGTTTCCTTAGGGTTTCATCTCTGCACAACCATATTGATTGTGGATATTTAACAGTTAATCTGAAATGCAAAATAAACTAGGCTAATATGGCAGTCATCTTTTGTGGCTCTCAAACTGTTCTTAACAATGAAATTAATTATATATATAATGTGCTGCTCTGTTGCCCCCTGTATCTTAAACTCTGGAATGTGGCATATATTCTTGCTAAAGAGTAGTTTGCAGTGTTGCTGTGTTGGTCCTAGAAGATGAGGCACACAAGGTGTGGATGAGGTAATATCTTTTATTGGATCAGCTTCTGCTGGTGAAAGAGACAAGCTGTGTAGCTTGAAAGCTTGTCTCTTTTCCCAACAGAGGCTGGTTCAATAAAACATTACCTGCTAAAAAGTAGGTCATGCTGAGCTAGGTTGACTCATTAAGTTTACATAGAGGTTTTGAGAAAAATGTGTACTGTTGATAAACCTGGCAAATCTAATCCAAATTGATTTACAGAAACTTGTGAGAATTACATAGCTTCTCAAATTTTGGCCTCTTTCAGAATATACAACAGAAAAATGCTTTTTAGGCATTATATTTGAGCTTATATTTAACCTGTGGTGGAAGCATGTGGATTAGTCTCTTCTCCTGATTTAAGAGGAGTACAAGTGTGTCTAGTTTTATTGGAGACTGGCAACAGCTACAGTAGGAAGGGTAGGATAGGAATGGTTTGTTTATATGTTAAGTCTCAGGCCAATGACTTTGTCATCTATGCTAGATTATGATAGCAATGGGATATGATGATTATAAGCCTTGGTTAAGTACATTAGGTTAGCCATCAGGGTAGAATAACATGCAACTAGGTTTTGTCATATCCTAGGACTGGAAAAAACAAAAGTGGTGTAAATTGGAATCTTCTGATTTGTGGTACAGTGTTTTAGTCCTGAAACAGGAATATCCTGCTTAGACATTGAGGCTAGAGTACCCTGCTGATAGGCACCCACATAATGCCCAAATAAAAAAACACAACATTTGTCATTATTGTAAAAAGTGGGAGATCAGACCTTCTGACTTTGGACTCCATTCCACTTAAGGGTTTATCTACATCTTTGTTTTTTGGATTGTGAAGAGTAGCTTGTCTAGCAATGGTGACAGGTTTCAGAGTGGTAGCTGTGTTAGTCTGTATCAGCAAAAGAATCGAGGAGTACTTGAGGAACCTTAGAGACTAACAAATTTATTTTGGCATAAGATTTCCCTCAAAAGCTTATGCCCATATAAAATTGTTCGTCTCTAAAGTGCCACAAGTGCTCCTCGTGTGGGGTGTTTTTTTGTTTGTTTGTTTTTTGTTTTGGTCTAGCAACGTGTACAGCACATGGTTTCACAGAAATCTAGCTGTAGAATCTCCATTTTGGTCTTTTATAAAAGACTGATTTTTTTATCAATGGCTGACTGTCAGGAAAGCTCTTAGCAACCAAGTACAAGAACTGGCTATTTAATATTAAATGCAAGTCAGTTGGGCAACAAAGTAAACAAGCCCAAAAGTGTTGCCCTAGGTCTGTGTTAACTACACACTTGGAATAATCAAAGGGATGTTCAGTGTTTGACTACAGCTGGCTGAAGCAATTAAACATTTAGGCTTGTGTTTTCCAAGGAGCCAGAGGAAGTTGGATGGCTAACTCTTTTAGGCCCCTTTGAAGAACCCAGGCTTAATATATAACTCATGATTTTTAAAAGTTTTTAGTACTTTTATCACTTTAAGGGGACCTTTCCTTTAAGTTCTTCTGGTAATGCAGTTATAAGATTGTTGAGCTGCTTAGAACAGGCAGTACCCATATGTCAAGAGAGGAGGATCAAAAAATGTGAAGACTGTGAAAATCCAACAACATTAACCAGCTTTAACACATTTGTGTTAAAATATATAAAATGTCTATTTATAGAAACCACTTAAGTCTTTGGGCTGTAATATTTCCAGTGTCGGGAGGTTGCTCTCCAGCTAGCTGATTGCTGCCACTATCAGTAGACTTAAAAGTATGTTGCAACTAAAATGTTATGTTCAAATTTGTTTTATAATTTATTCAGGGAAATAAATGATTTTTACAGTTCTAAATGGTCATTTCACTGGAATGACCAGAATGGGTGAAATTTCCTTTTAAACAAGCTGTGAAGATGTCAAGGATTAAAGCAAGGAGAGAGGCATTCCTTAGTGAATGGCTTAAGATAAAATGCGACTTACATTGGTGTTTGTTTCATTCTGGCAAAGAACATTTGTTGGTTCAAAGTAGTAGTTCAGCTGTTTAATGGAGGACAGCAGGTTACCTTGAAGAAATTAGGTTACCAGTGGACATAGTCAATTCTTGCTTTCAGATACTTGCTCCGCTCCCATTACCTTCAGTGGGAGATTAGCATGTGTACCTAAAATCAGATTTTAGCCCTGAAATGGTATGTTGACATAATGTTAAATGTATTGTGTATGATTTTAAAGAAACTTTAAACATTTTAGACAGTAGTTTTCAGAGATCTATTCGATGACATATATATGGTTGAAGATTGTAAAACACAATTTTAATGAATTGGAAATAATTTTTATAAACATGGGTAAGAAATGGTGAGAATCTTTTTGTAAAACAGTTTTCCTTTTTGAGATTTACTTGACGTTGTGTTCTAATTTTTAAGCAGATTTAGAAGAGGGTGTCAATGAACACGAATTGGAGCCTTTACCTCCCAAAGGAAAAAAGAGGGGTCGGAAGGGAAAGCCAAGAAAAACAAATCTTAAAGGGCAGTCAGAAGACACTAGATCTACATCCTCACATGGCACAGATGAAATAGAAAGCAGTTCCTATGTAAGCAGTAAACATAAATATGCTAAACTTCTTAGGAGAAAGTTTGTCTTTGAAATTAAAGATTTTGATTAAAACTGGCATTTGAGTATCCAGCTGGTGGCCAGAGACTTGTTAAATTATTACCTTACTTGGAACACAGCAGTATATTTTAGTAAAATGTTTTTCTTTCAGAGAGACAGGTCTCCCCACAGAAGCAGTCCCAGTGATACAAAACCTAAATGTGGATTCTGTCATGCAGGTGAAGAAGAAAATGAAGCTAGAGGAAAGCTTCATATATTTAATGCCAAAAAGGCAGCAGCACACTATAAGTGCATGGTAAGTAGAATATTGGGTTAGTGTTTAATTTTTCTAAACTGTCCTGCTATATGATACATTGTTAGTTCAGTGCCCTAACGTGTAGTTATGTATTAATACAGCCTGTGCTTCCAGTAATCTCTCTGACCCACTAAAGTGTTGTGAGCTGAGCAGTTCATTTATTTTCACCAGAGGCACTGTTGATGAAAGTTGACTATGTTTAGAGAAGGAGGAATTAGCTCAGGTAGACTCTCCATCTTACTACAAATCTCATTGTACCTAGGTGTATGTACGTACAATGTTTAAACAACAAAAGTATAACTCCAATAACATTAAATAAAGATTACACCCCAAAATAAAGTACCACTAATGCCCCCTAACCCCAGGCCCCCCCCCCCCCCCAAAAAAAAAAGCCTGCAGAAACAGATGAGCTTTGCACAATGCTTCGAAGATCAGTTGATTCAGGCTGTATCAAAAGAGTAAGGGAAGTGACCTCCAGAGTCAGTGGCTCCCCTCTGGAAACTCTCTGCTTCTAAATGATCACATCTAGGGAACTATTAGCTCATGTGCATCAACTGATCTCAGGGGCTCTGAAAGAATGAGAGCAGAGAACGCAGTTTTTTTCCTATGGCTAGGTCCTTGAAATTAGTGGGCATCAAGTTTAAAACAAATAAAAGGAAGTTCTTCTTCACACTGCGCACAGTCAACCTGTGGAACTCCTTGCCTGCAGAGGTTGTGAAGGCTAGGGGTATAACAGGGTTTAAAAGAGAACTAGATAAATTCATGGAGATTAAGTCCATTAATGACTATTAGAGGCTAGGGACACCATTCCTTACCCATCCTGGCTGTTTGTCAGAGGGTGGAGATAGATGGCAGGAGAGAGGTCACTTGATCTTTACCTGTTTGGTTCACTCCCTCTGGGGCACCTGGCATTGGCCACTGTTGGAAGACAGGATACTGAGCTGGATGGACCTTTGGTCTGACCCAATATGGCCATTCTTATGTTATGTTTTTGATCCAGGTGGGGCTGTATAAAAGAGAGTCCACACCTTGAGTTGGACTTGGAAATGAATAAGTAGCCAATGCAGCTGGTAGATATTTTTTTTTATATAATTTTCTCCTTATGGCTAGTCTCACTAAGCAGAGAGCCACACCTTTTGTAGCTTTTGAGAATTCTTTGCTCTATTGTATGCATGACTTTGGGGAAGAAGAGCTGCAATGCTGAGAAGCAGATTAAACTGAAAATACAGTGATATTTTAACAATAATACTGACATTCATTTATAACCGAGTAGATGTGTGCTTTAAGTGCAAAACTGGCACCTCCATACTACAGTTCATTTCATGCAAAAGGATCACAAAACACCACATAAAGGAATTGATGCATCCATCTCTGAAGTGAAAGCTGCTGTTTTTAATAGCATACAGTAGTAATAGACCATACATTTTCCCAATAGGAGATTGGCAGGGGTAATCAATTGTTTTGGTCCAGGTCCAAATTTCTTGGTCAAGGTCCAGACTCCAGAGCAGCATTTTTCACACCCCAATAAGTAAGTAAAAAAATTTTGCAGTCTGTTCAAAAGCATCTGATGGTCCAAATTTGGCCTGTAGTCTATTGACAACCTCTGATCTAGGTAGTTCTTTGGCCTCCATCACTAGCCATCGAATCTGAGCCTTTTATCCCTCTAAGTTTTATCCCCAGTTTCACAGATGGGGAACAGAGGCAGGTAGAGATGAAGTGACTTGCCCAATGTCACATAGTTTGTGGCAGAGGTAGGAATAGAATATAATCCTGCTGCATCCCATTCTGCTGCCTTAAACATAAGATTGCCTTTCTTCCCAAGAGGTCTCCCCTGGGACCCCTCGGAGATGCTGCCTTTTACCAGGACCTCCACAGGACCCGGAAGCTAGTTTCAGCAACTAGGTCTGTAGCAGCTACTGAGGGGGAATACCTCCTGGCTTTTGAGCCCCTGGTACACAACCTCAATCTTCATGTACGGGTGTTGGAGTCTGCATTGATGCACCAGAGGCTGGTCCTGGCTGCTGTCACTAGAATCTGAGACCACCTGGGCTAGTTGGAGGAAATGGGTATAGCCTGTGGTACTTGGCCAGCACATGGGCTTGCCCACCCTGTGCATACCCTGTTGCGTGCTTAAGGAGGTGAGGGCAGCCTTGCCCTCCATCCCCCTTCTCGTTTTTCTTGGGCAGATCTTGCAGAAGGGCTCTCCACACCCTTCACCCGGTCCTCTAGAGCATGTCATGAGGCCCCTGCCTTGCAACCCCCAGATGCTTGTGATATGCCACCTGAGTCGGCTGGACACCATCCAGCTAGTCCATCTCCAGACTGTATCACATGAACATCTCTGCATGCTTATGATCTGTACCATCCACTTCTTCGCCCTTGTGTCCTGCCCTGACACCAAGTGGCAGGACCTGCTGCAACCTGTGGAATGGAGGGGCACTTCAGTGGCCAGCTTGTACTCTAGTCTGGTCTTATAGCACCCATAAGATATGAGACTTGGTGGCTCTTTCATGGTGTTGTGAGCACGGGTGTGTAGTTGGTATGGTTTATCAAGTCCCCCGACATCTGCGCCTTCTGTGGCAAGAGGGAGCATATCTACGTAGTGTCAGACTGGAGCCCTTCTTCTGGCTCCTCTGTAACCTCCTGTTGAGGTTCTGGTTGCACTCCCCCCCCCCCCCCATTCCTGCTTCTATACAAACGTCCTATCCAGGGCCCCACAGAGTCACGAGACTTCGTCAGCCTACTCCTGGCTCTGGCCAAGGTGGTCATCCACCAGACCTGGAGGAGGAAGCTTGCTTGGATGGGGATGCTCTGCAACTGTGTGATCGGTTTCCAATCCCTAGTATCACGTATCTGGGCAGAGTTCTGCCTTCGTCTGCAGCATGGGGCACAGGTCACTTGCAGATTTAAACTAGTATAAATGGTGAATTCTCTGTATCTTGAAGTATTTAAACCATGATTTGAGGACTTCAGTAACTCAGTCAGAAGTTTGGGGTCTATTACAAGAGTGGGTGGCTTGCAATGTGAAGGGAGTCAGACTATAAGATCGAAAAGGATTATTGTGATCATAAAGTCCATGAGAGTTCCTCTGGGTGGCTTTGAGTGATTCCTTGGACTTTGAGGAGCAGTGGGCACTGCCCAGGGTTCTCTGGTCAGTGTCTCCATCCAGAACTGTGATTATGAACCTTCAACCCCCACTCCTGTTCCTGTTTTTGCATTTGTTGTTCCCCAAATTCAGTTGTGGCCAGGGTTTTGTGGTTCCTCCTCGTTGGTTGAGGGGGCTGGTCTTTAGTTTTGGATGGGCTTGAGCCTGCTATCCCAGTACCCGCAAAAAGACTATCTTTCCTGTCCTACAAATAGAGGCACACATCCAACTGAGATAGCAGGTAAGCAGAAAAGAATTACCCTATCTGAAAGTTGAGCTGGACTTTTGCATTACCTCTCTTCCACCTCTGAACGTCCAAATTAGCTGAAGTCCTCCTCCAAGAGCTTTTACTGCATATACTATATAGTTACATCTTGTGAGTGATGTTAGTGTAACTATATAAAAGGAAATGCATTCAGCCAATAAAAGCTGCAGGTAATGGAAACATGTGGTTTGCAACTACTTGGAAATGTCCCATTATCACCATTTCAGGCTTTCCAGGGACACTGATATTGGCAGTGTGAGTAAGCTGAATTATTTAGGTGGGGGCAGTGAGTGGGGATGAAATATCCTTTACAGAACCAAGGCATGTCTTCAGTGTCTTAATTGACTGCAGTAATCATTTATTGCTTTGTATATTCCATTATCATAATCATCCTTTAACTACTGCTTTGTCATTCAAAAAAAATCCTCTGAAACGCAGTCACAGATAATTGAAGCAATCAAGTGGGCATTGGAAGGAATATCCAAATTACTGATATGCTCAATCTGCAGTTTTTTTCTAGTTCATTGGCAATGCACAGTTTACCAGCAGATAACTTGAGTACAGTGCATTCCCTTCTGTTGCTCCTGCTCCTTAATCTTCTTATGGCCACATCTGTAACCTCCTAACATTATTGTGCATTTGTTTGCTTTACAGTTGTTCTCTTCTGGCACCGTGCAGCTAACAACAACATCAAGGGCAGAGTTTGGTGATTTTGATATTAAAACTGTACTCCAGGAGATCAAGAGAGGGAAAAGAATGGTATGTTTGTAAAGAATGCTTCAGTGATTTCGGTTGGGAGTATATGTACGATTCTCTTTTCCTTATCTGAACAAAATTTTTCCACTTTCTTAGAAAACAATTTAAATGTATTGTCACTTAGATATCAGGATATAAAGTGTCTCAACAATTACTGTGGTGGTGGTGTTTTTTCTTTTAACTACAGCATACTTTATGAATGCAGTATGTAGGCTCTTTGGGGACCATAATAGAAAGGAAGGAATTGACGGTTTGTTTTCCATACCACAGAATCTGTATGGCATGAAATTGCTAAATAGGTTATGGGAGTCAATTTGTATAATTATTGACTTGTTTCATTTTTTTTTTTAAATGATGGCTAGTTCATTCTCAACACTCTTTAAAAGGACACTGAATCTCTGTATTGCCAGTTAAAGGAAGATGAATCTCATGTGTATCTCTGGTAAATTGCATCTTTTAAATACTTGTTTTGGGGTCTCAAAGGCCCCAAAAGTATTACCTTATTAAAGTCTTCAGCTAGAGGAGAGAGGGAGCTGTTAGCATGGCTCTTGGATTCAAATTCACATCCCCTTAGTCAGTCCAGGGCCAGATTTGCTAATCTCTTGGGCATGGGGGTGCAAGGCCCATCTTTTCTCCCATGCCTCTGGAAGGACTTCTAATGATGATGAGGATGCCTACTTGGGAGGTGTCTTGTCAGTTTGTCTGTTGATTCATATATTTATTTTTGAGTGGTCTGAGCAGTATGTCATGACATTTTAGTGTGGAAAATTACATCTTATATACGGGCCCCAGAGTATGTGACAGGCACTCAGGTATGTTTTATAAGTAAAATATGTCACACAGTTTCATGAATATTAGAATTCAATAATATATGGAACTCTATTACCATCTGAAAAAATATAATACTTTGAATATTAATTGTATTATAGTAATGAGTTTAGGTACTTGGAAAAGCTAGCTTCAACTTCAACAACAGCAACAAAATAGAACTTAGAACTGCAGCAATGTGTACAAATCATGCAGTTATTTTTGCAGCAGACAGGTAAAACAGTTCTCTGTTCATATATATTGATGCAGATTTAAAACTGTTTCTGGCTTACTATAAATTAAGATTAATTTTTCTTGTAGCACAAATTTCTTCATGTTTATGGCTAAAATTTGGGGACATCAAAGTGAGCATTAATCGACAAGAGATTAAATGGATTAACATCACAATTTAGAGTACTGTCCTTTCTTCTCAACAGAAATGCACTCTTTGCAGTCAGCCTGGGGCTACTATTGGATGTGAAATTAAAGCCTGTATCAAGACTTACCATTACCACTGTGGAGTACAAGACAAAGCTAAATACATTGAGAATATGTCACGAGGCATTTACAAGTAAGAACCCTAGCAGTTAAGTCTGTAATGATCATTTTTTGTGATGTCCTCTTTGAACTGCTTTTCTGTTCAGATAAAACATTCTGATCATGCAGTAATGCTGATTAACACATCATTCAGCTGCATTGCAGGCACTAGGCAAAACTATCCTACATCTTTGGAAGTTCAGATAAGGTGACTATTGCAGTTCAAAAGCTGGTAAGGTAAAAGCTTGTGCAAGATCAATTTTGTTACTTCAAACATCTTGTTCAAGTTGAGTGTCATAGAAAAATTAAATCAAGTTCTGTTATAAATGTAGAGTTTAGAACTTTTTTTAAAAAGCCTCTCCTATAACAGAGGCAAAAATAGATTTCTCTGCACAGAACTCGGAGAATCTCTTCATATTTTTCCCACTTTAATTTCCATTTCCTCTTGTTCCAAGGCCCTGCATCATCACTCTCAAACCAATTAGGAGAATTGGATGGGTGCTCCTGTCAAAAGTCTTGCTGTTTGACTTCTGAGGCTCTTCCTCTCCAGTGAGGCTCAGCATACTGCTGTCGGAATGCTCTTAGCCCTTAATAACCCAGGGAGCAATAGAGTCAGACCACTAATTGACACGATAGCTTTTTCTGGCATTGTAGATCATTGACACTAGACCACTGGACTGACTTCATATTCTTTCTCTCTAACCTGAAGCTATTTAAGCTCATTTTACCAAGTCAGATGAGGATAAATACATATGCAAAAGTGGAAGTATTTCTGTTAAGTTTATCATAAACATGAAAATAACTTTCATATAATTTTCAAAATAACTTTCACACATATAGAAAATATTTTAGTGATCCTACTTAATTCAGAACCTCTGTATACCCACTTGAAAGTACATGAAATATGTCTTTTTAAAAAAAGCAAAAAAAAAATTTTTCTCCCTGATTAGTAAAATCTGTAACTCAAATTGCTGAAGTCACAGGTAAACTCCTGCCATGTTTATACTCTCTTAGGGATAACTATCTTTTTTCATATTTCTGTACTGTTCCAACCTCCTTTCCCAGTTGCTACCACAAACCTACTCCAATTGAAGTTGACCGGTTGCATCTCATTTTGGGCACAAGGGGGCATTCTATGAGCAGCGTGATAACAACAATCCTGCTTCTTGAGAACTAGAATTGATCTGTTTTAAATTTTCTGCTTATGCTAGTCTATAAAGACTGCACTGGAGCCTGGCTTTCCTCTGCTTATCTCAACTTATTTATTGGTTTCAGATTGATAGCTTAAGATCCATGAACAAATGGAAAGTGATTACAAATTGACACACACAAAATCATACTTTTTTTTATGAGCGCCCATGCTCCCTCGGAGTGTCTATTTGTTTTTTGTTATGTAAATGTTCATGAGAACAGAGTTTGATCCATTTTATGTAGATTTTAGACAATCTATCACAAAACTCCTTAGAACTCACTGGTACTACTAACCATGTTCATTCTCTTATGGTAGAGCTACGAGAAAGTAGGTCTTTACATATGCAATCATTAAACACCTAGACAGTTCATACAGCATTTTAAAATAACATCAGTTTGATTCTTGTCTAAAATGGGTTTTTTTAAATTGTCCCAGGCTTATGCCTTGGTACATCTCAGTCAGTTTTCACAGGCAAGATGTAAACCATTGAAAGTAATGAAAATGCTGTCACAGCCTTATCTATATTGGAACAAGCTTGCTATTGTAATAGGTAGTGGTTACTTTTTAGGAAAAAACAGTAAGTAGGCTTTGTTAGGATCTGCTAATGCTATCATAAACTAAATCTTTCTCTCAGCCTAGCTGTTTACGGTTGGTTGGCACAGGTCAATAGAGCTTTCTCAGTCTAAGGTTCTTGGCGGTGGAACTCTCTCAGAAGGAGGTCTGCTGGTGTTCTTCCTTGGTTGCTTTTTAGGACATGAGGCAGTGGCTCTTACAGTAATGAGTACCGCTGACTGTTTTTTGGGCTTCTGCCTTTGTTTTTGTGCTTAACCCCTCGTTGTTAACTTTTATCGGTTGGGAACTGTTCCCTTTTTTGTTTGGTTAGTGATCTTGGGTTTGACCCTGTAACAGGAGCCCTTGGTTCTAGCCAGTGATCTAGTAGCCTAGCTAATCTTTATTTCTAATGTCAGATGTCTGACAGGTGCCTTATACATTAATTCAGCAAAATTTTAAAATGGAGCCTCTTCACTAGTGGAGAGAGCCCAGAATGTTCTAAAATATATATATATTTTCTTGTTTCCTGGTAAATCCTCCATTGTTTCTTTTATTGTCTTAGACTCTATTGTAAAAACCATAGTGGAAACGATGAAAGGGATGAAGAGGATGAAGAAAGAGAAAGCAAAAGCCGTGGGAAATCAGGCTCTGACCATAGCAGCATTCCTCAGCAGCAACTCAATGGAAACTAGGTATGGAAGTTCCTCCTGGCAGCTCTGTTACTGAGACTGAGACACAACATACATTTGATGTAGTTAATAACAGTAAAATGTTTAAATCTAGTATATGCAGATCAGTGCTTTTTATTGGTGTACTGCAGAAGAACGGGGAACTTTTTTTTTAAACTTCAGCTGATTTTATAATAATATTAGAAAGGAGGCCTCATGTCTGATAAATGTAGATGTAATGTCAGATCTGTTAGATGCTCTGCTCTTTATATGATTTTAAATTTACTATTGTTTTCATCGTTTTTTAAACAGGTTCAAGGGACAGAGTTAGAGAACTGGGAATGAATAAGACATCCATAACTACTAATTCTTTTAAATTGTTTTCTAAGATCAGAAAAGGGTTAGTAACTTTTTACGGCCTGATTCTGTTAGAAATTTCATTGAACTGCCTGAAACGTTCATGTGTGTGAGCCTTCAATAAGTGGCAGAGTTTTACATGTCAATATTATGTAGTTCGTAGTCTGCAGTGTCTGGGAAAAAATTGAAACACTATATAAATGATATGTAATATGTACAGTGTCAAAAGTTAAGGCAGACATTGAAATGAAGTAAGCTCTATATTTCTGGACTGAATAAAAATCTAAGATTTGGAATGTGTAAGTTGTTTAGTGGATTCATGCACCAAGGGAAAGTCTTAGTAAGATTAATTCACAACGTGGACAGACAAGTCCATGGTGGCAACAAGCTGGTAACTCATGAATTTTGCATTTTCTTATACAAAATATGGAGGATAAATGTGTGGGGGGGCAAATTGCTCTGTTTTTGCTTGCAAGGCACAGTAGAAAAAAAAACTCCGTGCATGCAGAAGCGTGCTTGAACCTTTCAGTTTGTTCCTGTTGTGATTGTTCCTACTGCCCAGCATTCCTTGCTGGAGATTTACTTGAGCAGCTGTTGGTTACAAGCTGCAAGCTTCAGTACTCATGCCAAAGGGCTGTAGTTTGTTCTTTCCCCAACAGTCCACCACCTCTATATTCCTAATGTACCAAGTGACTCTAACTTTTGGAAGCTGCAACCCAACATCTTTAGATTTCGAAGAGGGTTACTACTTTAACGTCTATGGAATTTAGTCACCTTATCTGACATCCAGACCTCAAGTGCTCTGTGTTGTGTGGAGCACTTCATCTTTGTCCAAAATACAGACACCGGTCCCGCGTGCTGTAAGGAGGAGGAATCAACTTTGTTTCTTTTCTTTTTTTTGGGTAGATCAGTATTTATTTTTGAATCTTGTGACCACTATATAAGATTTACTTACCATTCTTAATGCTTTTAGCATGTGATTTTTTTTCTCGTCAAATCAATGATCATGCCATGGCACTTCATATGTCTAGAGGTCGACGTTCCATTAGAGAATAATCAGGTTTAGATTATACCAAATCTTCCAGCTCAGTTCCCTAACTTTTTTCATACAGCTCTGGCATGTCTAGTTGCTAATAAATAGCTTCTTCTGCTGGTCCTATTGAAGCACATTAGCAGATTCATTTAAAATAAAATCAAAAACTTAACCCAATAAGTAAGTCTTTCTAATGCTTCCAGGGCACCTCGTTGCTTGGGAAGGGTTCTGGCTCTTTCTGAATACCCAATAAACCGCTTAGATTTGAAGTAAAGCAGGAAGCAAGATACTCTGACAATTTGACTAAAAACAGTGAAGGTTCATCTGCAGTTGATATTAAGAAGCAGTTCATTTGTAACAAGTTTCTGTAGCATTTTTTACTTGTATTTTTAAAAGATTTAACATGTCATTGTTTTTTCATGCGTTTCCTTAATGTCTCAAGGGACTCAACTGTTGTATATTAAATTTCTAACATTTTACCATGTTAGAATTCAATCTGTTTTGGGGAAGAATGCAGTTTTAGTAATATTACTGTGTACAGAAAATATTCAGTTACTGCTCTAAACATGCCATTGATCATTCTTATTTTGTATTTGTAACTTTCAAAATTAAAGGCATGACTTGAATTGCAATGACAGATTGATTGAGATTGTTTACCAAGGTGTTTGCTTTTTTTTCTAGAATATGAAAATTTTTCAGCTGCGTGGAAGGGTTTCAGAATGCAAAATGTCTGTCACACTGCCTAGATTAGGTTCTAGGTTGCGTGCCTCAAACATGGCCTTCCCATGAAATAAAGGCACTTTATTGTTTGCAACTACTGTATTTTTGGTTAAGGAAGAATGAAAGGTACAATGGGGTAGATTTGCCAATATAATCATTGTATTTTTCACTGAGTTCTAATTCACATTGTGTCAATTGTTGGATTTAATATTCAGTCTAATAATTCATTATGGATAAAATCATTTATCTCTCCGCATGCCACTAGCAACCATAACAACAGTAGCAGAAGAGCAAGTGGCTGACTAAACCATCATTAATTCAGAACTCATGGAAACTAAAAGTCAATACCGAAAGCGTTTTTTGTTACAAGCCTCAAATTCATGTTATAATTTACTTCATCTTGTCATGTATGCTGGGTAAAAGTGCCTTACAATGTAAGAATTGTATTTATATGTTCCCAAGTAGTATCACTTGCTGGGGAGTAATTCTGTCGTGGTGTTAATATTTAGAAAAAATGGACCTCAGCAGTGTATTTACTGTACATCTCCGAAGTTCTTAACTGTAGCTTTAATAGGCATGGAAATGTATGACAGGTATACAACACTTACACTTTTTAAAGACAAAATACTGCCATTACTGTCTCTTTATGTGCATTTTAGCTTGAAATTTTGGACGGTTTGTCTTTTTTGTAAAGCAATGTAATCTTTTGCAAGCATATATTGAAGATTATTCTGCAGCATTTACTGCCTTCCCAGAAGTTAGAAGAAATGAACGTGCTTTATAGGTAAAATAGACTTGTTTAAATTAACTAGTTAAATTAATAAGGTTTATTTGTTCCTGGCAATTTTTTTTTTAAATAGGCAGCTTTTGCTTTCATCTCACGATCGGAAAACAATCTTGAATTTAAGAACTTGTCTTATGAAACTGATTTAACTGAATTTAGTTAGTTTAGGCCTTTTTGGGCATTTCTTGCTCACAAGAACAGTGTGTCTCTGTTCAAGAGACTCATGGAACCCTCCTATAATGGAAGATTTTTTTCCACAAAATAATATATTAAATAGTTTCATATCAGCAAAGGGCTTGCCTTTAAAAAGATCCTTTCTACTGCTCTTTTCCCAGGGAGTGCTGGCAGGGCCTGTATACCTGAGCAGTTGCAGGATACTAGCAGCTGGGGGAGGAAGGGCTCTAGAAGGCTATTGGTAAAATTCCCTGAGACTCTGGCTTATACACGTCTGAAGAGGTTCTAGGTAGTGGCACAAAGTGGCCACAAATTTATTTGTGAGGGAAGCCTAGCACCAATGTAGGTGACACTGGCTGGAAAGGGGACGTGGGTATTGTGGTTAAAGGGTTCACTAATTCAGCAGGTGTTTGCCAACAGGAGAACCTCTTCCTAGAGCCCTGGTGGGAGTTCCACTTGCCAACACCCTAGAGGGCAGCAGTGAATATACCGCTTACGACACAAAGATGAATCTCCCTTGCATACAAGCACTTTGCTGATTTAGGGAGGTATAATTACACCTCCATGTGCCAGCTTTGCTGAATTTGGCCCTAAATCTCACCTTCTAGTACAGTGGTTCTCAACCTTTCCAGACTAGTGTACCCCTTTCAGGAGTCTTGATTTGTCTTGCATACCCAAAGTTTCACCTCCCTTAAAAACTACTTGCTTACAAAATCAGACAGAAAAATACAAAAGTGCTTGCTTTCTCATTTTTACCATAAAATAAATTACATGTAATGTAAATATTGTACTTACAGTATATAGAGCAGTATAAACAAGTCAGTCTGAAATTTTTAGTTAGTGCTTTTATATAGCTTACTGTAAAACTAGGCAAATTTCTAAATGAGTTTGATGTACTCCCTGGAAGACCTGTGTGTATCCCCAGGGGTACACCTACCCCCAGTTGAGAACCACTATTCTAGTGGACAGCAGCTCGAGCAAGACCAGCAGCCAGGAATTGCTTCTTACTGTTCCATATAGGAAGGAGTAACTTCTCTTATACTAGACCAGAGCAGAGGAAGTGGTGATCTCTTCCTCCCCCCACCCCCTGGAAATGTCACACTTCTCTGATGTGATAATTGCTATACTCCAAGAAGATCAGTAAAGTTGAACCAATATTCTAGTGGAATTAACCTTCATTATAAGCACAGTGAAACTTAACTATTAGAGGACTGAAAGCATATTGCAACAAATAGTAACTCTCCTTCCATTTCACTATAAACAGGTTCCACCATAGTAATGATGGAGATTAACAGAGCACAGCTCTTGATGTTATATATACTTGCTGAAGCAGTTTCTATGTATGCACACTCATTAGTCAGCAGAGACATCTCAACCCTGAAAAGATTCTGGAGGACTGTTGCTTATTGAAAAGCACTCCGATTAGACCAGCTTTAGCATACATTTACATCAGATGTCAAGACAAGGAATGTATAAAGAGGGTAAACACATTCCTATCTATAATGTATATTTTGTTCCTGTTATATTGGCTTTACTTCCAAAGTTGTAGTTTGCAGTATTAGTTTTTTATTGGTATCTGCCTATATATTCAATAAATGAGTTATGAATTTCATATTTGTGTGGCTCTGCTTTTTATGAAAGCATAATGTTAAAACTGCACACTTCCGCATGTCACTTTCACGCACAACTGCAATGGATCTCATTAGTGATATATTTCATAATGAGAGTCTTAGAGGACTGATTATTGTAATTATGTCTCACTGCAGAAACTAATAGCTCGCCATGTGCAGGGGGAAACTTCAGCTGCAGGATAACAGGCAAGACGCAGCAGCATCAATGGGGGTTTATGTGCCAGGATTTGTGGTATAACTGCCTGGAGTAAGATGACGAGTGTTCAGTGGTTGTCCTCGCATTAGGCTGTTGTAGGCAAATTGCATATGAGGGTGATTTGCTAAATGCAATGATTGCATACGTTTTTGCTGAAGAAAAATGTTCAAAAGTTGCCAAAACAGGTGGTAAGTACACAATGGGGGGGAAAAAAGAGGCTTAATCATGAAGTCCTTACTGAGGCAATTGTTAACTTAAATCCAAGTAGAAACTATTACTCCTGTGGACTTCAGGGTTAGCCCAACAATATCCACCCATTGTGTTTAAATTTGGTGGTTTATTTAATTACCATTCAGGTTTGTGAAGCTGAATATATTGCAAACGAAACTTGTTCAGGTGCTCGTTCCTAAATATTTACTGCTGGTGTGCGTATGCCCAGTGAACTCCCGTTTGGATTCTCCTGGCCAGCAGCATCCATTGTGGCTGCCCGTCGGCTCTCCAGATGTCTCCCTGCAGCTGGAAGTATGAGTCCCGACACAAATAGACTTGCACTAACTCCGTGTGGATATTGCAACATGGGTGGTGGCTCAAACTAGCCTCTGAAGTCAAGCCCACCTGATCCCTTGGGTTCAAGCTTGATGGGGTAGCAGCTCAGACTAGCCACCCGTCCTGCTACATCCACGCGGCTGTTTTTAGAGCACTAGTGTGAATCTATCCATGCTGCGAATCACACCTTGCAGCTGCAGTGAAGCCACATCCTGAGTGGCCTTGTGGCAACTATTCACTTTTTTTTTTAAGCCTGTAACTGCAACACAATATTGATTTTGTGTTAAGGGAAAGCAGTCTGAGCATTGCTGTCACATCCAGGCACCCTGAGAGTGGCCAGGGTTGGATTAACAAAAATTGGGCCCAAACTTGGGGGAGGGAGGGCCCAAAATCAAAGGCCAGTGCCCTTTCCTGCCTCCTCGCCCCACAAAGCGAACACCGACCTCCTGCAGCAACATGCTCAGCCCTGGCACCGCAACCCTAATCCCAGCCTGGTGCAGTGGAGATGGGGGGAGCCCACCCCACAAGGGTGGCTCCTGTCCCATGGGGCTAGGGGCATCCAAACCAAACCCGAGGGGCACTGCAACCCCATGCGCTAGGTTGCAAAGCACAGAGCTAGGCTCAGGGCCGTGGGACAGGAGCTGCTGCGTGCAGGAGAGGGGGCTTGCTTTCCAAACCCTCCCTGGGGCCTCCCTCTGCACTGGGCCCATGACCAATGGGGTACACAGTCATAAGGTATGGGGTGACCCCAACCACCCCTTGGTTCGTTCTTTCTTTTTTTTTTTTTTCAATTGCCTGAGAGTTTGCCCTGGTACCAGGATCATTCATAATGACTGAGCATAAATCTGCAAAATTAAAAATTCCTTATCATAGGAGGCAGCAATACTTCTTAATGATGGGGAAACCTGCAGCTTACTGTGGCATGGCCTACATTTTGCTGGTATGGCTGTCTCGGTTTGGAGTGCGGGGGGAAAAAGTCACCCTCATAATAACACAGCATAGAGGTGCTCTTTACCCAGTGTAAGCTGCATCTCCATTTGGAGGGTTTGTCTGTAGAGCAGTGCCCGTCGAGCTCTACCAGCAAACCCTCCCTAGTATAGAAAAGGCATGTGTATGGAAGAGGGCGCACAAAAGATAATGTGCCACCTGTAATGCTTTTCTAAGAGAACCCAAAGAACTAGGGTGTCTTGTCTAAAAATGTTCCTGCTGGAGAGGTCAATGCATCCTTCTTCAGACACCAGAATGCCTGGGGCAGAGATTTCTGAGCACTCATCATCAGGACGTATTCTTGCTGTCTCCTCAGCTTGTGGAGTTGAGATGGCTGCTCCTAAAGAACTGTCCTCCTGACCTGGTAAATCCTCTGGCAATGGAGGAGGAAAGAGCCCTGGTGCCAGAGGAGGAGACTATCTAGGTCGTCCTCATCAGGTTGTTCCTCAGTGAGGCACAAAGTCTCTCAAACGTCAGCTGAAAAGTGTAGCACAAAACCCAAACAGTCCCTGTGGCACCCAGACAGGCACTGGTCACTGTGCCTCTAAACTGGTTTCCTAAGTACCACAAAAATCTCCAAGTGCCAACCATTTAGCAATGAGAACCCACCATACAGATATGCCTGGGACAGTTAACAGCATGTAGTCCTCTGACTTCAGCACCAGCTTACTCAGTACTGAAATCCTGTGCAGCATCGAAAAACCTCCTGGTCTCTTTGGTACCAGACTCCTCGCTATTGGCAGTAGTGAAGGTACCATCACCGGTAGCGACTGCTGTTCCTACACCAGTACCGAGCACATTGATGGTAGCAATGAGAGTGCCTTTCTAGAAGGGTTATTAATTCTTATCTTCTTGCTCTGAGGAGCAGAGGGAGGTTTCACCACTGCATTCCCTGGGCTCTAGGTATTCAGGCCAGTACACACCTGAGAGGCAATTGAGGGCTGAGTTTTATTACTCTAGACTTAGGAGCTCAATTAAGGATGGTATTCTTTGCCCACCTGCCCGTTATGTATACCAACACCCTTGGCTTCATGCTAGAAGACCAGTCACTGCATTCCAGTGCAGGGCTAGAGTCTCTCTTCATCCTCACCTCACAAAGAGACTTCACAACCAACCCACTCTGCTCCATTGCCAGCTGAACAGGCTGGGCATGGTTTTGATGAAGAGTCACAAGCAGAGGACCATCTCATCACCCTCTCAATGAGGCTGTGGTATTTGTCTTATCCACCTCAACCTTAGCTGACTACAAGATGTTGCACAGAATGACTGACACAATAGAGATTCCACTAGAGGTAGTCCAGGAAAATTTTGCCAAGCTCCTGAACATCCCACAATGCCCATCAACAAGGATCTTTTAGAGCCAGCTGAATTGCACTGGGAGACACCTGCTGCTTTTGGCACCAACATCAAAAAGAGCACAGTCGTTACCAAGTGCCCTTCAAGGGCTTTGAGCAATTTTATATGTGCCTGGGTCAAGTTATGACTGCAGGAATGAGAAGTCAACAGAAAGTGACATCTCAAGACAAGGAGCCCAAGAAATTACAATTGTCTGACTGGAAAAATTATTCTGCATCAAATCTGCAAATGAGAATCACCAATTGCCAGGTCCTGCTAGTAAAGTATGATTATTGTAATTGGAATTCCATATCTAAATGTACAGACAGTCTTCCTCATGATAATGGAGAGAATTTTATCTGATTGCTGAAGGTCAGCTTGTGACACATGCATCTCTCCAAGCAGCCCTATATCTATGGCTACCTTAGTTACCATGAGGAGATCCTCTTAGCTTCAGTCATCAGGAATCCCTAAAGAGGTACAAGTTACAACTGAGCATCTTCCATTTGAAGGATATGAACTTCTCAATGTGAAAACACATGAAGTTTTACACTCTCTGAAGGACTCTCAGGTGACACTGAGATCCTTAGGAGTCAATATTCCTGCACCAAAATGGGAACATTTGAAGTCTCAACTCATTCTGTACACAATGTAGGCAACCTGAACCATCTCCAAAGCACCAAAACATTCCACAGGAGGAAGTCCTCTGCATCCAACACCATGTCTGGTCATGAGCCCTCATCACCCTCAAGGCAGCAGATTTGACTCGTTGGCCAGAAGCGGAGTACAAATTCTGTTCATCTGGTTATCCCCTCTACTTGGGAATCATTTATTTCATTTTCATAGGGCCTGGCACACCATCACTGTAGATCGCTGCGTCCTGAAAATCATAGAGTTGGGCTGTTCCATCCAATTCCAGACCTTCCCTGATCTCCACTCACCTTCTCCATCCATTTTCAGGGACGCCTCTCATAAAAACCTGCTATATCAGGAGGTGCAATCACTTCTGAATCTTGGAGCAGTGTTAGAAGTACCTCAAAGACACAAGGAGAACTCATTTTACTGTCATTACTTAGATTCCCAGAAAGAAAGTGCTGGTCCCTTATACTGGACCTGAGACAACTGAACAGCCGGTATCAAGCGGAGTGCCTCAGGGGTCGGTCCTGGGGCTGGTTTTGTTCAACATCTTCATTAATGATCTGGATGATGGGGATGGATTGCTCTCTCAGCAAGTTCGCAGATGACACTAAGATGGGGGGAGAGGTAGATACGATGGAGGGTAGGGATAGGGTCTAGAGTGACCTAGACAAATTGGAGGATTGACCAAAAGAAATCTGATGAGGTTCAACAAGGACAAGTGCAGAGTCCTGCACTTAGGATGGAAGAATCCCATGCACTGCTACAGGCTGGGGACTGACTGGCTAAGTGGCAGTTCTGCAGAAAAGGACCTGGGGATTACAGTGAACGAGAAGCTGGATATGAGTCAGCAGTGTGCCCTTGTTGCCAAGAAGGCTAATGGCATATTGGGCTGTATTAGTAGGAGCATTGCCAGCAAATCAAGGGAAGTCGTTACTGCCCTCTATTCGGCACTGGTGAGCCTACATCTGGAGCACTGCGTCCAGTTTTGGGCCCCCAACTACAGAAAGGATGTGGACAAATTTGGAGAGAGCCCAACGGAGGGCAACAAAAATGATTAGGGGGCTGGGGCACATGACTTATGAGGAGAGGCTGAGGGAACTGGGCTTATTTAGTCTGCAGAAGAGAAGAGTGAGGGGGGATTTGATAGCAGCCTTCAACTACCTGAAGGGGGGTTGTCATAAATATAAAGAGAAGGGTAAACCTCTTTAAAATCCCTCCTGGCTAGAGGAAACATCCTCTCACCTGTAAAGGGTTAAGAAGCTAGGATAACCTCGCTGG